ATGGAGTGGGCCTACAAACCACTGACTTCTGCCACCAATTTTGAGTGAGCAAAGCTATAGCTTCTGCCTAGACCCTCCAGCCAGAGCACTGCCCACCAGCAGTCAGTTTGGACTCTTAGAGACTCAAGATGGAGAAAACACCCACCACTGGGTTTCTGACCTGTGTAAACTGACAAAATTACCTGGGTTCTGCTCAGCCTCTAAAGTCATGGCAGCCTTCTACTGAACTGAAAGGAGGTGACATCAAACACTGTTTTCAATTAAAACAATATTCTTAACAAAGGTCTAGTGCTGAGTAGTTTTTTAATTCCTACTTTAAAAGGTGAATAAATAGAGTGGACCAAAAGAACAATTCTCAAGTACTGTCCCTTCTCTTCAACCTTAATCTCCAGGCTCTGTCAGATACCTTCCTTTTCTGGCCATCCTAATTCCCAAGGTCACTTTCCTCACCCATGGCCTGTTCTGGGTTTGTGACTGACTCCAAGGCTCTCAGATGACACTGTCTCGGGGGGAAAGTAGCCATGTGTAGCAAGGCCTACATTCTCAGGGGTACAAACAGAAATACCCAACGAGAAGAAACTGAGGTGGAAAAGGCCGTATTAAAGAACCAGTAGAAACTGGCCAACCCAGAGATCTCCCATCAGTACAGGGGCTTCACAACCGAGGGGCAGAGCCCTCAGTAATGAATGACTCACCAGGACTTTAGCAGATAATGAAGGTGTCCTCTAAGAAATCCTCTAAATGCAGTAATTTTCTCTGAAGACTTAATGTGATACAAGAAAAAGGACATTTTCTAGTCATAAGCCCTCCCCTCCCACTCTGGCTCAGCATCAGAATCAGTAGCTCTCCTAATTTTCAACAAGCCGAACACAGTATTTTTTTCCTCCAATTTTTTTATAGCCCTTTACGTATAATTAATGTTCTCAGAGCATTTGTTTACTTTAACTATTTCCCACATCCTGCTTATAAAATTAAGTCAGTGAGGTAAGTTACTATAACAAAGAAGAGACGGGAAGGATAGTTGAGTCAGGAAAGTGCCTACTGCACAAACATTAAGATCTAACTTAAACCCCCTGGTACCCACATAAGCCGGCAGGTGTAACAGCAGGCATTTGTCTCTATGGTCAGCCTGTCCTGCCAGATGGGCAAACTCAAAGTTCTGTGAGAGACTCTGCCTCAAAAAATAAGATGGAAAACAACTGAGGAAGACACCTCTGGCCGTGTGTGTGTGTGTAATACAATAAAAAATATATTAAAGGTTCCCAGGATAACAGAGATCAATAAACGCTGCCATATCATCTATGGATAAGCCCCTAGAGCAAAAGCTGGATGGTCCTCATCTCTACAGGAGCTGACAATATCACTACATATGTAATAAAACTAATAATAATATAAGGGAAAACATGTGAGGTCAAATACAAAACAAATGCAATGGTTTGAATAAGAAATGTCCCCTATAGCCTCATGTATTTGAATATTTGGTCTCTGGTTGGAAGGGATATTTACAGAGGTTATGGAACATTTTGGAGGTGTGGCTTTGCTGGACAAAGTAGTCACTGGGGACTGGCTTTGAGAGCCAGTTAGAGCCTCACTCTCACTTCTGGTTCGGTCTCTCTGCCTGAGTTTGTATTAGAGGAGGTGCTCGCTCAGCTTCTTGCTCTAGCTGACTGCACTCATGCTTCCCTGCCATTACAGACTCTGCCTCTGGAACCAGGGGCCCAAAAATACTCTCACGGAAAGTTTTTAGTCATGGCATTCTATCACAGCTACAGGAAAATAAGGACTACAATACCATTCGTTCCAAGTAAAGAGACAGGGTTTGTGGATGGAAAAGTCAGGGCAGAGGAGCAGCGGAGGAGGAAGGATTTACATGAAAGCTCCAAACAGAACACACGGATGGTAAGGAGACTCTTCCAAGACGCACATTTCCTTAAAGGGAAACCTAGAAATTCCACCTGACAATCTTTCTCTCTTGATGTACAACTCAATAAGAACTAAACAGGACTTTAAGGGGGGGCACAAATATTCTCTATTTCAAAACTAAGAACTTCCAGGTTTCTGACCTGAACTAACAGCGAACTCCACCAAATGTCCTCCTTTACTTGTGTCTGCTGAGACTGAAAGTGAGATTTCTAGGAGGTTCTAAGTTCCACATTCTTTGGACATCCTTACCATGTACCCACTGAGATCAATTCTGCCTAAAATTGAGCCATGCATGTTGCTGTCACCTTGGGGGCATTCCACATTCTGACAGGCTATATTCACATCTGCATAAATAATTAGTAAGAAGGGTCCTAAGGCCATGCCAACACAAATCTTAACACTTATTATCTCAGAGTGGTCTGGTCTATGGTCTATATATTCATCAACCAAAAGATGCACACAGCAAGGTTCATAGCAGCACCATCCAGAATAGCCCCCAAATGGACGCAGGCCAACTATCTCTCCAAAGCTACTTACTGAGCTTAGTGGCTCACACCTGTAAGTCCAGTACTGTGAAGGCTAAAGCAGAAGAATCATGAGGTCAAAGGCAGCCTGGACTACAAAGCTAGACCCTCTTGAAAAATATCTAAGAAATAAGTAAATTTAGGCATATTCATATGGTACACTACAAACAAGACCAATTTGACAAGCATAATGTTGAAATGCCGTTGACAGAAACACAAAAGACAACCTATTGTAGGGTTTTACACTGAAAAAAAAACAAGCAAAACTAATGTGTGATATCAGAAATCAGAATATTGTTACTCTGGGGTGTTGGGGTCTGACGGTTACACTGGAGAAATCTCTAACATCTAGAAAATGCCTGTTTCTTTGAAAAGTCATCAGAATAATTGTTAATGTTTTTCTATATGGTGCCTTATTTCAGTAAATTAAAGTAATAGGATGAGGAAAAATCACCTTACAATTTAAGTGCGGTACATATATTCACATCCATAACTTTTTGCTAAAATGTTTGTGTCTGCTTGTTTTAACTTAGTATTATTTGTGTACACATAGACTGGAGAAAAAAAGCATATACTCATAGTAATAGTACTAAAGTTAAGAATCTCTTCTTTGCAACAGAGAATTTATTACTCTACTTCACTGTTCCTTGTAGAAGAGGAGGAAGGTGGGGGAGAAGGCAGAGGATGGAGAGTGAAGAAGAATTAGGTATGAGAAGAACTTCAGGCCCTTTAAAGCATCGGGAGAGAAAACAAAAACAAACACACAAAATAAAACAAAACAAAACACAAGGTCACCAGAACATTTTCAGGCACTGAGCAATTGTTACTTTAAAAATTGTTTCAAGCCAAGAGGGAGGGACTAGAAGTCCCTAGCAACTGCCACTCTGATTGAACCACACCTCAGTGAGGAAACAGCAGATCAGACAAAGATGGGATCTCAGGCTAGGAGTTGTAACCCTAGCTCCAGTCGGCCATGGATATATCACTAACCCATATATGCCAAGAAGTATAGAATTACCTCATCAATAATTGTAGCAGACATCTTTTCTGCAAGTTAACCCTAAGCAAAGGAGAGGAAATCCCTTTCCTTCCCCATAGGTCAGATATCAGAGTAAGTGGCTGCCCATCCACAGAGCATTCAGAGGTATGTCTTTTCCTATAACTGAAAACCCAGAGGAAAGAAATCATACTCTGCAGGGGGTGGGAGGAGGCGCCTTCTTAGACAAAATACAAGATGAAGCCCCCAGGCCAAGGCTTGGCCTCTAATGCAGGATGGTGGAAAACACCCGCCTAGCAGTACCAGGAGCACCTGCTGGTCCAAGACCTTTGCAGTGGCTGCAGCAGATAACCTTGCCAAAGATGCTGGGGACAGACTGAGTGAAGAACCGCAGGGCTCATGCTTGAAAAAGGTTAGGTGTTCTCTAGCTATACACTCAGAAAGCTGTCACCTGTCAATCACTTGACCTAAATACAACAGTCACTGGGGGGAGTTGGGGGAGGGGGTAGTCCGAGCATGCTCAGTGATGGAGATGACATCACTTAATCAATGCTGGAAACGGGAAGGCTGCATCAGCAGCCTGGAGCGGGATGCCAGGAACGTACCAGTGGGGACGTAGAGGCTCATATTAACTCAATCCCTCTCCACGCGGCTCGAATACAAAGAGGGCACCGTGGGCCACACACACTCTAGGGAGAGCAGGCTAAGAAAGGGGGCGCGGACAAGACTAGTTTATTTCCTTTGGTACATTCCCTTAAGAACTATAAGGGAGTATCCCCTCCTATTGCCAGACTGCAGAGAGGGAGCTAAGTTGGAGGAAGCAATGTGGGAGGGAAGGTGGGGAAAGGTGATCAAAAGAGAGACCCTGGATCGCTTAAGTAACTTCTGCTCTTGACACAGAGGGGTTATTTGGGAACTCCCTCTCTTAGCAGATTTAGAATCTTCTCTCCATCTAGAACGAAGCATACGAGGCTATCTGCAGACACTAGGGAGAAAGGATCTGGTTGGGGAAGAAGGGAGTCCAGCAGATAAAGCACAAATCCAGGACAACTGGGGTGACAGGAAGCAGGAAACATAAGAGACCGCCCAGAGACACCAAGAGCACCCCCTCACCTTCCACAAGGGAGCAAGGTGAAACCGCCTATGGAAGGCCCAGGGGATTTTGTTTTTCTTGCGCCTTTTCTCCCTACCTTTTTTAACTAAGGTCTTGAGACAAATCGAACCCTGGAATGCCTAGATGCATCTGTGGGTTGTAGAGCATACACTTTGACCAAGGCCTGGGCATCCCTACTTGCTGGCAAGCCGAAACACTGCTCACGCGGCGGCGAGAGTGGGAACAATAGGCCCACCCGAGCCCCCACCCGCGAACAATGGCGGACCTCGCACTCCCCCGCCACCCCGCGCCACCACCGCCGAGAGGGAGTCACCGGCCAAGGGCTCTCTTACGGTCTACCCGCGAGCCCAGCCCCACTGGGATGTCCGAGGTAGCGTCCGGAAGATCTCTACTCAGGCTACGGTGCAAAGCCAGAGGAGGGCAAGACACCAAGGCCACTTACCCCGATCACTACCGTCTCCTCGCCTTTGAATTTGGGGATGAATTTGTCCCCGCGGAGGATCTCCGCTTCGTTGAGGGGCCGGAACCGGCACATCACTTTGATGCTACATTCGGCTGGATCCGCCATCTCGGGCCGCGGCAGGAGGGAGCACGGGGATGGGGTGGGGGGCACGGCTGGGCAGCGCCACGGAGGAGGCCGCGAACCAACCGCTGCCCGCTGCTAGGCCGTCTCCCGCAGCTTCTCAGCAGGTCATCGCAAGCCTGCGCTGGGTGCCGGGCAGCGCCGCCGGGAAGGAGAGCAGCGGTTCAGCAGGGCGGCCCTGCTGCTGACCTCCAGCCCGGTTCTGCGCCCCTGGCTCACCTGCCCGCGACCACGCGGCAGGCGGACTAGGCGATGCTCAGGGAGCAATCCCCGCCCGGCTCAGACCTCCCGGGCTCCGGCGCGCTCAGCCATCCTGCATCAGCACCACGGCGCTCCGGCACCTCCAGGCCCGCCCCTCTGCCCCGCCTCGGCTCGGTGACGTCACTGCAGAGATCCGCCTCACTCTGGGTGTGAGCGCGGCGCTTCCCGGGACTTGTAGTCACTCTACCTGCAGGTGGGAGGAGGGCAAGGCTTAGATTAGCTTGTGAGGACCTCTGGAAACTGCAGGACTGTTGGGGCTCACAAGCCAAGAACGGAATGGAAATGAGAGTTAATATTCCCAGTTAAACTCTATTTAAAAAAAAAAAAAAAAAGCCTGGAAAAAAAACACTTATCAACACTGTACAACTGAAGAGTCACAGAGCGTTTCCCTGTGTTGTAAAGTTTTATCAAGAGTTCTAAGGAAAGCAGGAAAGAAATGAGATTTGCATGGAAGCCAGTTATAATGGCAATGCTTAAACATAGGTAATTCATAACAGTTCATATCTGATCAAAATCAAGGATTTTATCACCGCAAAACTAAGTCAGAAAACAAATTCACACACCCACGTAGTTAGCATGCTACTTTAGCGTGTGAGGTTCAAAGATGATTTTCTTTTTCTTTTTTTTTTTTTTTTTGAGGCCTACTAAGTCAGCATCGAGTGGCGGTGCATGCTTGAATCCCAGCATTCAGAAGGCAACCTGGGACAAAAAACAAACAAACGAACAAAAAAAAAAAACAAAAGAAAACAGGACCTCTCAGTTACAACTAACGATAGATCAATTTCTAATTATGTTTAGGATCCTGCAGAAATGAACAGAATGTATAGCAGATCAAATCCACCTCAAGTCCAGGTTCTCAGAGCCACAGTTCTCTCTACTCGTTGACGATCCCTCCTCTCCTATAACATCCTTGATGTTTACAATCTAACAGATACCAAACCTCTTGTGATATCTCCAATTCTACTTGTCCTGATTTGTTTCTGATACTTGCTCCTGGCCATTTCCTCTGCCAAACTGGCCCATCCCCATCCATCAGTAAGTAAGCATCTTTGGAGGCCCTGTGAAAGTTGATATGGAACATGGCCAAAGCCGTTGAAACAAATGGAGAACTTAGAAGAATACAACTTGTTTTGCTAATTTATTCAAGAAGCTACTGAACAGCCAAGCCAGAGAACAGGCAGGACTGCCTTAGGGACCATGGTCTATGTACTGACCTTGTTCTTACTCAAAATCCATTCCCACCTATCAGTGCCAACTGCTTGTGGATGTCACTCTCCAATTTAGGTAAGGATAGATGGGTAGGTCTATGAATGGCCTGGGATTAGCCTAGCATCTACCTCTAGCACAATAACCTAGAGTCAAAAACTTTGTAACTCTACTAAGGAACCTCGTGGTATGAAAGTTCTTGAAAGAAACCTGATGTATTCCCACCTCCCACAAGAATGCATTGGCCAATAGCTGGTGTCTGTTGAACTTTGTCAACACTAACTTTTCAATCCCTGGACACTTTTTACAGAAGAATTTCCCAGATGGCCTGCAGCTGGTTGTCCTTACTTACTGCCGAAGTGTCCTCTATATCACTACATCTAAACAGTGAATTCCTCATTGCCTTTGCCCCACCTGAACTTGGAGTGCAGAGTAGGAAGCACGCTGAGTAGGGAACACAGCTGAACGTGAGTCCGTCTTCTACCACTGTGATATTTACTGTCCTTCAGACTCTGTTCCCTATTCTCCAGCATTAGAAAAGCAATATTGCCTCACAGATTTTTTTTAACAAATTAAGAGCAATATTACTTGTAATGTGTTTAGTATGGTAAAGCATTTAATATGTGTGTGTGTGTGTGTGTCCAAATCTTAGGTAATGTTATTCTTACTGGGCACTAAATAAATGATTGTAAATAACAACTTCTTTAATTTTCTAATAGAAATATATCTATTGTACACATCTACTTGTACCCGGGAATACAAGTTTCCTGCCTACCTGAGAAGACAGAGCCACTGAAGTGAACATTCTAAACCATTGCCAGCAATAGCAATTTGATTTTCTCTCCTCAGCACAGCTAATCTAGAGGGGAAGAAATCTCTGGTGCTGCTTTCTCATCTGTGTCTCACTAAGCAAGTCTCAGGCTCTGGCTCACAGACCACTTGTTCTTTGGGAAATCTGTGTCAAAAATTGGTTGAAAGATAGTGAGGTGTTTAAGAGGTGAGTCATTCATTAGAAGGGGTTCATAACTTTTTCACAGGTAGTAAGCCCTTGCTCTCATGATACCACATTAGTTACCATGGGAGTGTTTATTACTAACCACTTTCAACTTCCTCTGCTCTCTTTCTGGTTCTCTCTTTCACTTCCTGTGTGATCTTGCCCACAGATGCTTCTTCAGGTTGTCCACCATGTGTGAAGCAGCAAACTGTCCTCACCAGAAACCAGGGAGATGCAATCCCAGATCTTAGAGATAATTCAAACTAAGCTTTATAAGACACCCAACCTCAGATTGTTACAGCAACAGAAACAAAACTAAAACTCTGAATGTCTGTGATGACAATCTTACGAGTTTCCTTGCGCCCGATAGAGGATGCACAGAACTCTACATACACTCATTTCTTTGAGAGTGTCCGAGCTATGAATAACCCAGGATTCATGGAGATCCACCCATGTGCCGATGGGTTCCCTCTTTACTCATTAATTCACCTATTCAACCATCTATTAACCAAGCAAATAATACTGGTTGTTAGTTCCCAATTGCTAAGACTTATAAAGTGAACTTTTACCAAGGAGGTTATTATATGGATCCCATTTAAGAGGTCACAAGATACAGAAAATAAAATGTTCAGTGTGTCTGAGAAAATGGACCAAGTAGGAGTCGAGAAAAAAATGAAGGTTTCTAGAATAACGAGAAAATTTAATAAGCTTAAATACATAAAAAATGTAAACTTTGGAGCCTGGCAAGATGGCTCAGTGGGTAAAGAGCAGCTGTCACCCTAATGACACAAGTGCAACCCCTTTCACTCACTCTGGTAAAAGGAGAGAACTGACTCCTGAGAGTCATTCTTAGACCTCCACAGGAGCACCACGGCTGGCGAGTGCACTCGCACACACACACACACACACACACACACCATGCATAGATAAAATAAAGAAATTAAGCATAACTTACAACCTTTATGCATTAAAGAATAACAACAACAACAAAAACAATGTGCAGAACAGAAGAATTTGTAAATGATATATATGATGCAGGTTATTCTATATACAGAATATATAAAAAGAACTCCTGTAACTCACAACCAAAATCAAACAAGTTTTAAAAAAAAAAAAAAAGTTGCCAAAGGAATTGAATAGACTTTCTCTGAAAAAAGTACAAAAGACCAATAAACACATGAAAAAATAATCATCATACATCATTAGAGAGGAACAGCAAATTAAAAGCTCTAAGAGTCATCACTTAAAGCAGATTAGGATGATTATATCAAAGAAGAAAGAAAGAGAGAGGAGAGACAGGGAGACAGGGAGGAGGGGAGGAAAGAAAACATTCACAATATGAAGAAATTGAATCTCCTGTGCACAGTTTTTGGTAAAAGTGGTAGAACTATTGTAAAGAACATCATCAACCCCTCAAAAGTATAAGCATAGAATTATCATGCAGCCCAGGAATTCTATTTCTAAGTGTATGCTCCCCCCAATCAGCTCATAGTCAGGAATTTGTACATTATTGCTCATAGCAACATTACTCACCAAAAGATGAAAGCAATCCAGTGTTCCTCGCTGATAAATGTATAAACATATAATAAAGCAAGGAAATCTTGACACATGCTACAACATGAATAAGCCTTGGAGATTCTATGTTAAGTAAGATGAGTCAATGACAGAAGAAAATGAACCAATGAATCCAAATGGATTTTGGAGTTGCTGGTACCATGGGATGTGTGCTGAGAGAAGCTGCAGGCATGAAGTGGAGCTGCCCCAAAAAAGAAGCTATGTGTACTGCAAGCATCGGAACCAGAGGAGTGGAGCTACTCCCTTTGTAGCCCAGACAATTTCATCACAAGCCCCAGATGGCTGGCATGGAGCTGTTAGATTTAGTGTTTGCCTTGCTGGGGTTATGGTCTGGTTTAGTCCAATCTTCTGTTGCTATGGCTCCCATTCCCTGCTGTCCTCAGACCCCTGAGGAGGTGATCATTCGAAGGTCACAACTGGTAGATGCGGAGAGAAGATTAGACTCTCAGGAGACAGGCTTCAGTGAGACAGCTTATTTAATTAGGAAGGGAACAAAGGCTATTTAAACCTTTTGGAGATGAGCAGGAGCTAGCGTGGTGAGTGTACATACATCATTGGCAGGGCTCAGGGTGCTGGTGATGTTTCATTTGCTTAAGGAGGAATTCCACACATTCCCTTATAAGGGGAAATGAAGTTCTAACCTGGCTACAAGCTATGTGATCTCCTCTGGTGGGGCAAAAGATGGGGGCACAAATCTATGTGCACCGGGGCAGAGGGGAAGCGATCCTACTCCTGCCAATCTCAGGATGAAATTTATGGAGTTTGGATACACCTTGGCCCCACTCTTTGCTTTAGGCCTGCTCCACATGGCTTCAGGGATCTCCTGGCCCCACAATCCCTCTTTAGAATTTAGTATTTACTCTCTAGATCATTGTTCTGCTTGTTTGTTGTTATTACCTTGACAGAGCTAAATTTGTCCTAGAAGAGATAACCAGTTGAGAAAAAGCCT